AACTGGACAACCTGTATTTTCTTTTTAGTTTTGCTGAGTTATAATGACAGATAAAAATGACATCTTTTTAGGTTACACTGTAATGATGTGATATAAGCATGTTCTGAAATGATTGCCACAATAAAGTTAATTAACACATCCATCACTCCACACACTCCATCATTCTGTGTGTGTGGTGAGAGCACTTAAGGTCCACTCTAAGAAATCTGACATCTACAACAAACGCTACCGTTAACTACAGTCACGATGTGGTACATTAGATCTGTTATGAGATAAAGAAGTTCTAGGCACCCTGTATTTCTCTTAGCTCCACCTGGCAACTTTGGGAGCTTGTACTTAGCAAGTCCCATTCTCGGGGGGTACTTCCTGACCACCAAACTCCCTTACTGAGACAGTCCTGGGACCACTTGACCCCAGAAAACTTGCCCAGGCTGGAATGGAGGACCAGTGACTTTTCAGACTTTATTTTTGTTCTTAGCACACTGAGAACACCTTCCCTGGGTACCCGCCGGATAGCGGAGAGAGAACAAAGGATGCCCCTACCAGTTCCTGCAAACCAACTGGACTAAAAAAAAACACCCCCCCCCCCCGAAACACACACACAAAAAGACAACTACTTCAAAAGCCTCCCTGACATGGATTCCCCACTGTGACCCACTCCCGTGTGCAGACTGTGAACATAAAATCAGGCTTGGGGGGCGAGCTCACAGGGGCCAGGCTGGGGCCCTTCTCCTGCAAAACGACAATCTCTGTGCAGAGTCCAGTGGATTCACGTGGCCAAAATGTATTTAAAAGCAACAGGAAAACCCAGGGCTGGACGAGCTGGGTGCTGTCGTGGTCAAAGTCAGGGGAGATGAGAGGAAACCGTACGGCGGATGACTGCCAGCAAAACGGGGTGTCAGAGGCAGAGTGGAGTGGCCCCCGAATTCCAGGATGGAATAGCTGTGGGGTGCCTGAGTGGTTCAACAAGGTAAGAGTCTGACTCTTGATTTCGGCTCAGGTCACGATCTCATGGTTCGTGAGTTCAAGCCCCGCGTCGGGCTCTTCACTGTCAGCGCAGAGCCTGCCTGGGATTCTCTCTCTCTGCCCCTTCCCCCATCTCTCTCTCTCTCTCAAAATAAATAAATACATTTTTAAAAATATGGAAGAGCTTTATCATCTTACTCTTACTGCAGAAATAAACTGTATATCAGTGGTTCTTAGACAGGCGGGGAGGTCCCGGGGCCAGCAGCATCAACATCCCCTGGGAGGCTGTGCGGAATACAGACTCCCAGGCCCTGCCCCAGCCCTGCTGAATCAGCACCTCTGTGGGGAGCCCCTAGCAGTGTGTGTGTGTGTGTGTGTGTGTGTGTGTGTGTGTGTGTGTAACAGCTTGATTAAGGTATAATTGACAAGAAATAAACTATTCCTCTTTAAAAGGTATAGAGGCTCCTTGGAGAGCGCCTGGGTAGCTCAGTCAGTTGAACATCCAACTTCGGCTCAGGTCAGGATCTCACCGTTCACGGGTTCGAGCCCCACGTTGGGCTCTGTGCTGACAGCTCAGAGCCTGGAGCCTGTTTTGGACTCTGTGTCTCCCTCTCTCCTCTCCCCCGACTCACTCTCTTTCTGTCTCTTTCTCAAAACTAAACATTAAAAATTTTTTTAATAAAAATAAAGAAATAAATAAAAGGTATAACTTGATAAGCTTTGATGCCTACACGTATGAAACTCTTCCCACAATGAAGACAATAAACATATCACCGCGCAAAAGTTTCCTTTTATAAATCCTGTCCCCTCCTCCTGCCCACACCCAGGGCCCGGGCAGCCACTGTCCCATATGCTGCCACTGTGAGTTAGTTTGCAAGTCTTAGAGTCTCACATACATGGGCTCATACAGTTACTCCTTCATCTGAGATCTTTCACTCAGCGTAATTATTTTGTGAGCCGTCATGTTCTTGGATATACCAGTCACTCGTTCACTTTCACTGCTGACTAATACACTACCTTTATGGGTACCTCACACCCCTTCACCTGTTATTAGACATGTGGGTAGTTGCTAGGTTTCGGCTGTTACAAAGAAAACTGCTATGACCTGTCGCATAGAAACCTTTGTCTGGACACGCACCTGTATTTTCCCACATAAATACTCGGGAGTAGACTAGTGTATCATAGAGAAGGTATGTGTGTGTGACTTTTTTAAGAAAATGGTTTCCCAAAAATACAAATCAAAACCACAATGAGATACCACCTCACACCCATCAGAATGGCTAACATTAACATCTCAGGCAACAACAGATGTTGGTGAGGATGCGGACAAAGAGGATCTCTTTTTCATGGCTGGTGGGAATGCAAACTGGTGCAGCCACTCTGGAAAACAGTATGGAGGTTCCTCAAAAAAATTAAAAATAGAACGACCCTATGACCCAGCAACTATACCACTAGGTATTTATCCAGGGGTTACAGACGTGCTGTTTCGAAGGGGCGTATGCACCCCAATATTTTTAGCAGCAATATTGACAAGAGCCAAAGTATGGAAAGAGCCCAAATGTCCGTCAATGAATGAATGGATAAAGAAGGTGTGGTGTATATATACAATGGAGTATTACCCGGCAATCAAAAAGGATGAAATCTTGCCATTTGCAACTATGTGGATGAACTAGAGGGTATTATGCTGAGTGAAATTAGTCAGAGAAAGACAAATATCATATGACTTCACTCAAATGAGGACTTTAAGATACAAAATAGATGAACATAAGGGAAGGGAAGCAAAAATAATATACAAACAGGGAGGGAGACAAAAACATAAGAGACTCCTAAATATGGAGAAAAAACAGAGTGTTGCTGGAGGGGTTGTGGGAGGGGGGCTGGGCTACATGGGTAAGGGGCATTAAGGAATCTACTCCTGAAATCATCGTTGCACCATATGCTAACTAGCTTGGATGTAAATTTAAAAACAATAAATTAAAAGAAAAGAAACTGTTTTCCCAAACGGGTGTACCATCTTCCACCCCCACCAGCAGGGTGTGAGAATCCCAGCTGCCCCCAGTTCCCACCAGCACTTGGTGTGATCAGTCTTTTAAAAGGCAGACAATTCAGTGATCGTGTAGGGGTACGGCACCACGGTTTGACTGTGAATTTCTCTCATGATTAATGATGTGGAGCATATGTTCATGTGTGTTATCGACCATGCACGTGTCTTCTTTGGCAAAGCATATGTTGAAATCTTTTGCCCGCCTTCTTTGTCAGGTTGTATTTACGAGTTTAGAGAGTCGTCTCTATGGTCTGGACTCAAAACTTCATCAGATATGTGATTTGAAAATATTTTTTCCCAGCCTGTGGCTTATATTTTCATATTAATAGTGTCTTTCAAAGAGTGGAAGTTCTTGGGGGTGCCTGAGGGGCTCAGTTGGTTCAGCATCCGACTCTTTTTTTTTTTTCTGAGAGAGAGAGACAGTGTGAGCAGGGGAGGGTCAGAGAGAGAGGGAGACACAGAATCTGAAACAGGCTCCAGGTTCTGAGCTAGCTGTCAGTACAAAGCTCAACGTAGGGCTTGAACCCACGAACCGTGAGATCATGACCTGAGCCAAAGTCGAATGCTTAACCGACTGAGCCACCCAGGCGCCCTCTGCATCTGACTCGATTTCAGCTCCAGTCATGATCTCACGGTTTGTGGGTTCGAGCCCCGCATCTGGCTCTGTGCTGACAGTAAGGAGCCTGCTTGGGATTCTCTCCCCTGCTCACAAATTCTCTCTCTCTTTCCCAAAATAAATAAATAAACTTTTTTTTTTTTTAAAGCAGAAGTTCTTAATTTTGACGAAATACCGTTTATCTATTTGTCCTTTTATAACGTGCGCATTTGGTGTCCCATCTAAAAAACTTTCACCCAAAACAAAGTTAGGGAAAATTTCCCCTTGTTTTCTTGTAGAAATTTCGTGGTTTTAAGTTTTACATGTGGGCCTATACACCAGTCTCTGTTAATTTCTGTATGGTATGAGTTTGTGGGTTGAAATTCATTCTTGACCCGAGGATACCCCATTACTCCAGCACCATTTCTTTCCCAGATCATATCTTTGTTGAAAGGCTTTGGCATGGAAATTATCTACCCTCCTTGACATGGTGAGCTCCTATTCATTCCTCAAAACCCAGTCAAATGTGGCCCTAGCTAAGAAGCCTTCTCTATCTGACGCCAAGTAGCTCTTTCAACTAGGCTTAGTGCCCACAGCCTCTTGGGCAGCCCCTGCCATGGTTATACCCCACATGACTGCATCAACACCCACGTCCAGCTCTCCTGATGGAGTACAATTTCCTGGAAGGAGACCATAACCCCAGCACTTAGCGCAGGCCTGGCACGGAAGCTGGGGTGTGTTAGTGAGGTGGGGAGTGACTCGATAAACAATAGTTAAGGTATAAACAGAAGAATAAAAGGCTAAACACACAAGGACACACCTTGCTTTTCCTACGTGAGTACCACCTCTCAAAGTCTGCTCCCAGACCGAGTCTCCTGGGAAGCCGTCTCTGACCGCACCCAACCACACAAATCACCAGTAATCTTTCCTCAGAGAACCTGATCGAGTGACTTAGGCCCCGCCCTGTGCAGGTACTTGACGCACATTGTTATATTGGATCTTTGCCACACGGCTTGATGAGGCCGACACCACTGTTAGCATTATTGTACCGAAGAAGACACAGACGTTCCGAGAGGCTCGGCTCCATGCCTGAGATCACGTATCTAATAAATGCCAGGGCCGGGGTCTGAGGTGAGAGCCCACACTCCTACCTCTCTGTGTCCCACCTCTTACTTCCTTTCACGTGTACGAGTCTCAGTTACCTTACAAGCCCAGGCCCACCCACTATGAGCAGCCCTTGCCAGCCCCACCCACAAAGGAGAAGAGTTGCCCAGGGAACCCTCCATCACCCTCGCATCCTGTGTCCCCTGGTCAAGGGGACACAGACGTGCACACACACACACACACACACACACACACACACACACAGGCCTGCTAGAAGGACCCTCTCCTTACCCTAGGCCACACGCCCATGCTGAAGGAGTTGCTGTTGGCCAGCTGCTGGAGGTCCAGCTCTGTCCTGGAAGCAGAGAAGGGACGCGAAGTAAGGGAAGGGCCGCCCTCACCAGTGACCTGGCCAAGTGTGTGGTCATCATGGCACAGGGCTCCACACCACGGCCCAGACGGCCCCCGTGCCTGCCCCAGGCCCATTTCTGGAATATTCCCCACCCACTGCCCTTCTGTGGCTCTTTCCTAAGCGTTTCTCTGGCACAGAACACCACAAATCGAACCGAGGGAGTGGGTTCTCACCCTTTAGTGGGTGCTAATCAGCTGTGTGAACTTGCTCGGGGGTAATCTATAAAAGAGCCGGTTTAGATGAGTCCTTGCCGTCTGCTGAGTTCTGAGACACTGGCTCCATCACTCACCTGAGATCCAGGTCTAACCCAGCTAGCATCTGGGAGAAAACCTCAAAGTTGCCTTCCCCTTCCGGCTGCCGGGCCACGTGACTCTTCTCCAAAAGCATTGTCTGCAAACGGGGGTGGGTGGGACATGGTCAGCCTGGTGGCCGGCTACCCAGAGGCCCCTGTCAGGGCACCCCATCCCCACCCCAAGGCACTCGTTGGATCAACGGCTCAGGTCCACACTCTGCCAGACACCTCCGTATCAGAACTGCTCAGTCCTCTCTCCCATTGATTCCGAGCCTGTCCAGGGACTCAACTCCTGCAATGGATCCATTCCGATTAAAGGCAGTAACAATTAAACAGAGCCACTCTCCAACATATTGCTATTTAACAGAAGCTTACCAACCTGACCCAAGTGGTGATTGATGGTAGAATTGCTGGGCAGGGACAGAAGAGGGATATATTTGGCACCGATGAGTTTTGCTTGAGTCTGGACATTATCCCAGCTCAGCGTGCAAACAACCCTTCTAATAGCCTAATCCTATTTTCTGCTCAGACAGCCTGTTTGAGGTGCAGAGAAGTGGCACGGGTGATTTTAGAGATAGTGGAACAAACAGCCCATGTGTTGGTTACGCGCGGATGGACGCAGAAGGCCAGGGAGCGTCTGTTTAATTTCAGCTTACGCTTTTAAGACCAAGCTAACGAGCGGCTGAGTTATATATTTACTCATGAATATCTCATCCCTGTGACATTCGGAGGCGCAGGCGGGCCGGCGAGGCCCCGGGGCACTGAGTGCACCGGGGAGGAGGTGACCCCCCCCCCCACCAGGAGAGCCACCACCACTTAGACATGTCCTGGGGTTCCAGGTGAATGTGCGGCCTCTGCTGAGGGTGCCTGGGGATGCTGCAGCAGCAAGAGCGCCCTCTCTCCCATCGGAGCACTCACCTGGAGCTGAGCGGCCGTAACTCGCCCTGTGGCATTGAAATCCAGCGACATCACCATGGCAAACCGGCTGGCATTGCAGCTATGGCCGGTGCACACAGAGCCAAAAGCCCGGAGGACAGTGAAGGTCGCTCGGATCTTCTCCACTGTTGGGGGGGGAGGGGCATGGGGCAGCAGTCACCTGTGGTCCCGGAGCTGCCCCCACGTCTCAGATGACCACCTTCCCCACGGGCACCTGCACCCATCCAAGCCCATGTGGCCCCAAAGCTCCTCGCCACCCCCCAACGCTCCTCGCCACCCCCCAACTCAGCACCAGACCACACACATTTTGCTGCTGCCCTGGCTGTGCACTGCACACAGGGTGCAGGGGGAGGGAGACTAAGTCAAGGGGAGACACGCAGGGTCAGGACTGATACAGTCCAACGATAGGGGCCTCCTGGGCCTGATGAGAGAGGGCAGGGCATTAACATTCTCAGACCGGCTCTGCGGGAGCTCACAGGGTAGCAGCAGCCTTGAAAAGCCCTGCACTCTCTCCACAACTATTTATTAGGCACCTACTATGTGCCAAGCACTGGGTGCTGGATACAACCTATCCTGACTCCCACTCTCAAACACACGCACTCACAGCAGAGCTACGTCTGGGGAGACCCAAGACTGATGCCTCTCCCTGCCGTATCCCCAGGCCCTCCCATGGGTCCGGTGGACAGTAGGTGATCAACAAAGCTCTAGAACAACCCCAGCGAAGCAGAAGCACACCTAGTAGTTAAGGGAATTTGAATATTGGCACTGCCTTTGCTAGTTACCTCATTTGGAGCAAATCAAGTAACCTCTCTATGCCTCAGATACCCTATCCTAAGATGGGAATAATGACAGAACCTACCTCATGTGCTAGTCAGGAGGACTAAAAGATTTTAATAATGTAAGGTGCTTAGTACCCGTTCCAAATGTGGGGCTCTATAAAGCACAGATATGCCAAAACCGCACGAAGAGATCATGGTATATCTATGGTATTAAATTTTCACAGCATGTGGGGTGGGGGGGTGTCTGAAAAGGCTCTTCAGGGCTGCAAAAATGAAAGAAACATTAAGAACACGGGCCCAGGGGTTATAGCTCTGGAGCCAGATTGTCTGGTTTGGACGCTCAGCTTCAGGATGCATTAGATGTGTGGCTTGGGGCAAGCAAGTTAACCTCCCGGAGTCTTAATGTCCTCATCTATAGTATTTGAATAATAATAATATCTACCTTAGAGAGCTGTTTTAAATAATAAATGAGTTAATATGCTTGGAATAGGGCCCGGCATGTAAGTCTTCAGCAAATGTTTATGACAGTTATTATTAATATTATTGTTATTATTATTAATCGGCACTCTTTAAAGCCTAGTTCAAACATCGTTTAGTTTTTTAAGCTTTATTTCTTTATTCTGAGAAAGAGAGGGAGGGAGAGCAGGAGACGGGGGCAGGGAGAAAGAGGGAGAGAGAGAATCCCAAGCCCGCTCCGCTCTGTAAAAGCACGGAGCCCGACGTGGAGCTCAGACTCACGAATGGCGTGATCATGACCTGAGCCGAAATCAAGAGTCGACGCTTAAGTGACTGAGTCACCCAGACAAACATCATGTTTTCAAGGGAGCCCCCACCCTCCTCTCCTCTGAGCTGCCCGTGACTCTTTCCTAGCCAACTCTGCCAGCGCTGTGTGCAGAGCACTGGAGTTTGGCAGATGTGTGAAGTTCAGTTTCCCTTCTGGCTGTCAGCTCATGAGGATGAGCATGGGCCCTGCCCTCCTGTCTTTACTTACTGGGTCCTCTGTACAGTTCAGCAGGTCGTGCACTGCACAAGGACACCATATCGAAGGGGCACACTGTGTACATCACACAGTTACAGGTGTGTCTATTTGTTAGGATGATTTCCCAGAACATGGCAGTCAAGTGTCTGGTTCTAACAACATCAGTGGATGATACTGTTCTGCAGAGAGCTGTGAACATCTTGAGGAAGGAGTACCTTTGTTTAATTTGCACAGACATGTCCAATGGACTGTGGTAGCCCTGCCTAGAAGGAAGCAAGCATGGAGCCTGCATGTGGGTGCTCAGTGAGTGCTGGCAGAACGGACATAAGGAGGAGCAACCAAGCATCCCCTCCCAGTCTCCCCACCCTCGCCCACAACCCACCCCCGGCCCACGTCACCCGGAGAGCACTGTACCTGAGACCCGGCCATCCACACTGCCTGCCATCGCCACCAGGTGCTCCAGGACCTGCTCGCAGCATGTGGTCTTCCCAGCACCACTGCGGCCCAGGGCCACGATGCTCTGGTCTCTCCGCTGGCTCAGGAGCGCCCAGTAGGCCCGCTGGGCCAGGGAGCCAAGGTGAGCTGGCAGGCCATCCCGGCGGCGCCTGGACACCTGCAGGAAGATCATCCTAGGCATCGGTCTTCCCAGCCCAGCCGGTGCCCAGGGAGCACTCCAAGCAGTGCTCAAGCCCAGACCCGTTTCCCTGCCTGTCATCCTACCCCGACTTCATCAGACAAGGCTTGAATTTTACTGGGAAGAGCCCAGCCTCGGGGTCTAGTCCTGCCCCTGGCTCACTGTGGGTCCTCAGACAGGCTTTGAGCCTTCTCTGGACCTGGGTCTCCTCGTTAGCTCCTCGGAGGCTTGTGTGAGCTCATTATTGGAGAGTATGTGCCTGGAGTGAGGCAGTTGGATAAAATGGCAAGATCGATTAGTAATGTCTGCCATGGAACCCGAATGAAGCACGGGGCAGATGATGGTACGTATGCCGTGCGCTGCTGGTCATAACAGTTTTAGGTAATACCTGAGGCCCTCCACTCCACTCACCCATTCATTCATCCCTTCATGTATTAATCATTCAATACAAAGAAAAAATATTACTGGGTGTCTGTTGTGTAGCAGGCACTGTCCCAGGCACAGGGGGCGCAGGGCTACACAAAACGGATAAAGGGAATCACTACCAACCACGAGGTGATACCATTGTATACATATTAGATGGCTAAAACAATGTTTTACATTTTTTGTAACGCTCACTACCAAGATCTAGTGAAGGTACAGAGCGACTGGGGTTCCCACCCTATGCTGGTGGGAAGGAAAGAGTGACAGGGACCTTCATCACACAATCTGGCAATCCCATCCTTAGGGATGGTCCAAGAGAAAGGGGCCTTTATGCCCACATGCACACACACCAAAACCAACGAAAAACCTTCAGTGTCACTGGTTCTCTTGAATATGTATTCAAAGCCACCAAAAACGAGACACAACCCAGAAAACCAGGTTTCCCATATCCCAGAAAACCCCTCTGGCCAGGGCACACTGGGGCCGCTGGTCACCCGACGCATGGATAAACCAGGGCTCACCTACAATGAAAGAACAAACTGCCAATCACAGCTATAATATGGATGAAGGTCAAATGCATCGTGGGAAGCGGAATAAGCCGATTCAAAGGTTACCTGCCATACAACTCCAATTATATGACTTTTTCAGAAAAGGTCAAACTATAGGAACAAAAAAAAAAAAAAAAAAAAACAACAACACAACCCAGATCTGTGGCTGCCATGGGCAGGACCTGGGAGGCAGGCGGGGGACAACCATGGGTCCAGAGGGCTTCTAAGGGCAATGGCATCAGAACAGTCTTGTAACTGACAGCAGAGGCTGGTACACAACTATATGCGTTTGTCAGAAACTTCCAGAACCTTCCGCTATAAAAGGGGTGAATTGAACGGACTGCAAATCATACCTTCATAACTCTGCCTTAAAACAGCCCTGCCTAGGGAGCAGAGCCCGCTTTCTGCTGGGAAGAGACGGATGGGAAATAAAACTGTTTCTAACGGGAGACATTTTCAAGCCATGAGCCTGAATGAGATCACCAAGGAAGGGGTGTGGGGGGATGGGGCACCCGCCTTAGAGAGGCCACGGAGACCCGCAAAGGAGGCTGAGGAAGAGGGGCGGGCGGGACTGGGGCGTCCTGGGGCTCAGGAAGGGAGCGTTTGCAGGAGGGAGGCTTGGCCACGCCACATGCTATCTTGAGGGCCAAGTAAGGGGTAATCAGAGACGTGAACATGGGGCAAATGTGTCTGGCAGCATGGAAAGCCTGGTGACCTTGACCCAAGTCTGCTTAGCATGGCCTTGGGGTGGAAGGGAAGAGGGCAAGTGGAGACACGTGGTCAGCAGAGGGGCACCAAGGTGGGCGGGCAGCTGGCCAGGCTGGACAAGGACGTTGGAAGCGGGGAGTGATAGGTAGGTGACCGCTGGGCCCAGCAAGACCCAACCCGCCCTCTTCGGTGGCTCCTCCCGCAGCCTGCACCTCCTGCCTGGGGCTCAGGGCCGCCTTTCCTGCCCAAGACACCCAGCAGCAATAATGAGTCCCTGTCCTGACACAAAACACAGGCCCCACCCCCCTCACTGGCGGGACACAGCCTAAAGGCATGCGGCAGGTAGAGGGTCCTGGGGTCTGAGCCGGGGAGCCACCCCCTGTTCCGGGAGCACTAAGGTCCAGGGGACGGGCGGTCCCATCTCCTCAGGGGGCCGGGAGGGAAAAGGGAGGATCCTTCAAACCCAGGCCCCTCTGTACACATACAGGTGCACGCGTGCACACGTGCCTTGCTTGTGTGCCCACGTGCGCTGACGGGCACACGCACCCCAGAGCGGCAGTCGCCAGCAGCCCAGAGATGTACCCGTCTATACCCCGCACATCCACACCCATGCTCGCAGCCACGCAGACCTGCACCCCCAGGCACACCCCAGCTCCCAGCCGCTGCCCGGTGGGCGGACTCCCAGGGAGAGGGCTCCCCCACCCCCTGCCCGCCGCAGGTCTCACCAGGTCCCTCTACAAGATGGCACCGCGGGTCTATGCCCCCACCTAGTGGCCGTTTGAGGAACTGGCCGTGACTCAGCCAAAGCGCAGAGAAGGTGGTAGCGGGTGTGGGTGTGGGAAGCTGGATGGTTTGAGGGTTTACAGGGACTTGGGGAATCGCTGAACTCAAATGCTTCCATACAGGGAATGCTCCCACTCCTGCACATTCCAGGCTCTGCAATGGAGGCCTCAATCCAGAAAGGCCGCTGAGAAGCCGGCTTGCTGTGGGGGTCTGTGCTAAATCCCCAACCCACGGGCTTTGAAGGAGCAAGAGTCACCAGCATCCTGGGAGGCTCAGAGGCCTCGGGCTGCAGCAGCAGAAGCAGAGCCCTCACAGCAAGGGGAGGGACGAGTCGGACGGGGAGGGGAGGAGGGGTCTGGGGAGCGACGGAGGGGATGGGGTGGGGCTCCCTGGAGAAGAGACCTCTCAGAGGCAGACTCGGAGCCACTGTCCCTTTTTAAATGCTCTGTAGCATCATCTGGGGGCTATGAATGGATTTGTCCCATGGTACTCCAGAGGGCAAGATGCCCAATGGGCGGATGAGAACGCCGAGGCCAGAGAGGCGTCATGGTTTTTCCAAGGCACTTGGGGGGCACCGGCAGCGCCTTCCCAGTCCTCCCAACAGCACCCAGATAGGACGTTTGACCTCCATCAGGCCTCCCTGCCTCCACCTTTGCCTGCTTTCACCGATCCAGCCAGCCGCCGCGGGGAGCCCTGTCCGGCATCCGAAGACCATCTCGTCCCTCTGCTGAAGGCTCCTAAAAGCCAGCATCACGCTCAGAGCAAAAGCCAGGAACGTCATGACCACGTATAGGACCGGTGTGACCCAGGCCCACCTGTCCTGGCCTCCTCACTGTCTCTTCCTCCACACTCAGCTGCTCTACCCACTGATATCTTTATTACCGGGGGCCTGCCTTCCCCCTCGGGAATGGACCCCCACGTGGGCAAGCTTATCTGTCCCCCTCCCTGCTCTCTCCTCCAGGCCCTGCTTAGAGGAGTCGCTCGGTCTCAGTCAATGGTTCCAAGGGGATCGGGAGGGTCTCCGTCGTGGCTGCAGGCGCTGCCACAAGGTGGCGCTGAGAGATCCCCTTTGCTTTGTCTTGACAAAAACTGGCCATTTCTACACTTGGTAGGAAAAAAAATAACGGAATAACAGAATAGAGGCTTCTGTTTCCCAAAGTATGTGGGTGTCTGGGACTCTCATGCAGAATGGGGTTCGGAGCACAGAAAGGCCGGTGGCCGGGGTTTTATCCCAGCTCTCCCACTTGCTGGACACGAGGGCTGGCCCAGCACAAGTCATCTGTAAAATGGGGCTATCAGAGGCCCCTATCTTTCCAAGTGGTTGTGAGCGTTAGACGAGGTACTATGGAAGGCGCTGGGAGCAGAGCCGGCTGCACAGCTGACATTTCTTCAATACCTTGTCATTATTATCGTCTATGCCGCCCCTGTTTTCTCCATCCATGACTCAAGGTCCCCCTCTATGGAGGGGGGAGCCACGCGGCCCTCGACGCCCCCACAAGACCCACAATACTCCCCCGATCTTTTTATCTGCCCTGAGAGGCAGAGGGGACCCCACCCCACCCGGCGGTGAGCACCCGTCCCCCGCCCTGTTCCCATGATCCCCCTCACCTTGCCTGCAGAGGGCGCCAGGGGGCCCCGGGGCTGGAGGAAGATCAGGTCCGGCCCCGTGAAGGTATGAGGCAGCTGAGCCCGGTAGCGGTTCAGAAGCGTGTTCAGAACACTTGATTCGTTGACACTGACCAGGGACGCCAGGTCCTCAGCCTGGTCCAGCTCAGGGGGGTTTGCCTGTGAAGCATCACACAAAGTGCCCCCTGGTCTCCTGGGCCTCCACACCACACACACACACACACACACACACACACACACACAGCCCTGTGGCCCTCTGCTGGGCCGGTTGTTGGCCACAGACCAGGACAGAACACAAGGGCTCTGGGGAGAGAGAAACACATCCACAGACATGAAATAAATGAAATAAGGACACCTCCGCTCATTTGCCCTTTGCGTATGCTGGGAGCCACCCGTCTCTGTCTCTCTTTTTAGTTTATTTATTTATTTGGAGAGACAGGTGGAGAGAGAGGGAGAGAGAGAGGGAGAGAGAGAGAGAGTCCCAAGCAGGCCTCGCACTGTCAGCGCAGAGCCCGACGCGGGGCTCGATCTCACAAACCGTGAGATCCTGACCTGAGCCGAAACCAAGAGTTGGACGCTTAACCGACCAAGCCCCCCAGGCGCCCCTGCCACCTGTCTCTTCACGCTGGCCCTCCTTGCTGACCTCACTGCCCCGGAAGGGGAGGGATTCCTGAGACAGACCCAGCAAGACTCGGACAGCCTGCTGCATCTCCAACACTGCAAGGAGGATGGGGTTCTAGAGCGGCTGTGGCCGCCTCCCTGGGTCTTGTCAAGGGAGCTCTACACGCGCCCTGTGACCCCCCGATGGCCGAACAGCCCTATTTCTTGACAGCCCATTGTGCATCGATCCCTTGGCAATATGCCCAAACTCTTCTGGAAGCGAGGAATCGTTGCAGCTTCTCCGCGGGGCATCCACTCTAAAAGACTTCCTCCTACTCTTTCCAGCCTCTAGGTGTCTTTAGGGCCTAATGCTCTGCGGTTTAGGCCCAGCCTGAGCTGTCTTGTGGGTCAGTCTCTTTGCGAAGGGCACGGGCCCACTGCAAACTCAACACCTATAGGGAGAGAAGGCCTGAGGCGGGCTGAGTGGAGGAGGAGGAAGATGAACAAGGCCCCCATGGAGCTCCTGGGAGACACATCTTAAGATGTGAGAGGTGGGAAAGGATCAGGACAGGACCCTTTTGCCCTATCATTATACTGTAATGTACGCTCAAAAAGATTTCTGGTGTCCTACAAAAATGATGCAAACCACAATTGGGTTCATCAATCAAAAGAAAGGTTAATCCCCCAAATAACAGCCTGTTGAAACCTAAGCTATAGTTAATGGCAAGCTGCATATTTGGCTCTGAATTCCCTGGCAGCCAGGGTGAAAAGGGAAACACGCCCTGCAGCACGATTTGCAGTGTGCATAAAATGGAAAGCGGTCACATTCTTGGGTCAGGCAGAACTCCCAGTTCTGACAAATGTGTCTGTGAAGGTGCCTTTGCACAGACAACCCTGGGATGGGGGTGGCGGCCTCCTGAAGCGATGCCTCCGGGCGGGCAGTGAGTTCCAAGATCATCTTCCCTACAACTCCCTCCAGGGCACGGAGCCAAAGCGGTCTGTGCAGTCAAGTGCCAGGAAATGCCTTGCAGGGGTGGGGAGAGAAGGTGCGGAGTGGGCAGGGAGGGAGACAGAGTGCTCACCCTATGCACACGCTCCTCGTCCACCTCAGTGACTGTTTTGTCAGCATCAATGCAAAGCCGCACCCTTCCTGCCGGCAGGTCGGCGGTTCCCTCATCCGGCTTCAGCACGGTGGCTGGAGACCCATCCCAGGGCGGGAGAGAGAGAGAGAGAGAGAGAGAGAGAGAGAGAGACAGGCTCTAAGCCGAGAAGCTGGACCAGGGAGCTTAAAGAGGGATCCTAGTTGGGGTCAGAAAGGGACAGTCCTGTCTCCCCTTGGGATCTACTCCCATGGAGGGTTCTGAATGGGGACTCCACACCCCTTGAAGACAGAAGCTGGGGTGGACTCACCTTTTATCAACTGGCACAGTGCATGGGGTGGACACCCTGATGGCTGGGCGCACTGCCCGGGCAACCGCCTCCCCTTCTAGTGCCCGCGACAGACATCACTAATCAATCACGCTTCCCCCCTGTCTTCTGACGGAGACTCACAACCACTTCTCAGTAGGGTGTGGCCCCAACTAATTGACAAAAGTGGGCTCGGGAGATGAAATCTATTTGCACATTTTCGCTACATTTCCTTGAGGAATGCTGTAGGAACCAAATAATGCTTAGTGCATTAATGAATTTGTTAAATAATTAATTACCAAGGCATAAATGCTTTTGGAAAACAGCACCCAGTAGACCAGCTGTCAGAGATGAAATGACACTCAACTGTTCTCACACTCCACAGACTCCCATCCTAGACTTGGCTGTTCCAACATTATTTTTTTTTTTAATGTTTATTTATTTTTGAGAGAGAGAGAGAGACAGAGCACAAGTCGGGGAAGGGCAGAGAGAGAGGGAGACACAGAATCTGAAACGGGTTCCAGGCTCTGAGCTGTCAGCACAGAGCCCGACGCGGGGCTCAAACCCACGGACTGTGAGATCACAGTCCTGAGCCGAAGTCGGACGCTTAACCGACTGAGCCACCCAGACTTCCCATAGACTCCGCATGCCCCTCACCCTTCCCCCCGACTGTGATCTGGCAAATATGGGTAGCAACTGAGGGCACGTGGGAAGAAAATACTTAGACCCCCCCCCCAGATGTGCTAACACCCCTAATTACCAAGAGTAAATCCATCCTTCTGAACCAGCCACACTTTCTCTGCCTCGTACCATCTGTCCTCAGGAGCCTGAGAGCAAAGATCACATGACATGAATCTGATGATCCAAAAGAGGACACTGCCCTCCCTCCACCCCCACCCCCTCACCCCACCCCCTTGTCAGGAGTGAGCCCTTTGCATGGGAGTTTCTCACAGTGCGGTCTGGGACCGCTGAAATCAGAACTTCCCCAAGGGAGAGCAGGCGGGGTGGTGATTACTTAAATGCAGATGATGTGGCCCCACCCTGGTCCCCGGAAGGGAAACTCCAAGGTGGGGCCGGGGAATCTGCATTTTGAGCAATTTGCTCTTTGTGCAGCCCCCAGGTTGAGAGCTGCCATGCGGCTCTGTGAGTGAGCTCAGCCACCAGAGGACACCTCACAGTCTTGGTGCCTCCCTCACGCCATGGAGAATCTTACCCCGGGATGGGTGAGTGCAGTGGGGACCTCAAGGTCCCCACGCATCGAGGAGGAAGTGCTCTGTCCTCTTCTGAGGTGGTCATCCGTGTCTGACTCCCAGTCCCTCTCCTGTCCCCGCCTCTTTCACCCCCAGGGGCAACTCTTTCCCACCAGTCCCTCTCCGAAGGGTCCCTCCTGCCCCTCCCCCACTCCGGGGGCTGAAGCCCCTCACCTGATCCGAGTCTTCGCTCTGTCCCGCTTTGTTCCCCTCCTGCAGGGCCGGCCCCTCTTCACTCTCCTTCCGACTTGGAGGACATTCCGCGTGGCTTTCCAGAGCAGGGGGTCTGGCTCTTTCCAGCTCCATCGCCAGGGTCTCTGCCCCGTCATCCGCTCCCGCACGGGGCTCCCGGGCTTTCTGTCCTCTGCTGGCTGGCTGGCCCTCCTTCCCAGCCGCCGCTGGGTTCTCCCTGCGCGCACCCACCTCCTTGGGGGCTTCACAGCCCTTCCCTGCATTCCCCCCAGCTTGCGCTGCCTCCCCAGACTCACTCTGAGGTCGCCCTTCCTTTCCTCCCTCGGCCTGGGGCTCACTTGCCTTCTCCTCTCTGACAGCTTCCCCCTCCTGCCCCGGCTTCCCTCGAACTTTGCTCATCTTCTCCGCCTTGACCTGAGGTTCCTTTGTCTTCTCCGCCTTACTCAGCAGTGAACCTTCTTTATCCTTCTTGCTCTGGGGACCGTCCCATTTGCCCCTGCTGCCCAGGGAGACTCCCCACTTTCTCACCCGGATCTGGGCCCCAGGGCCCTTGCCTTCACCCCCCGCATCCTTGGGGAGAGTCCCCTTCGCCATCTTGCTTGGGGGGTCCCCTGCTCCCTTCTCCGCCAGAACCGACCTTTCCCCTTCGTCCGGCCCCTCCCTGCCCTGGAGCTCACCCCCTTTCAGCCCTTTGGCCTGGGGGTCCCTGCCCCCTTTCCCCACCACGCCTTGTGTTCCTGGGCCCACAACACCCTCGGGCTGGGTCTTCTCAGCCTTGGGGGCTGCGTCCTTAGTGACGGCCTGGGGGCCACGAGGAGTCCCTGGAGTCCCCCCCTTGTTTACCCCTCCAGGGTCTGTGGCTGGGGGCGGGGTCTTACAGGTGGGGGCGTCCCGGGGCTGGGTCCCCTGTTCCGGCTTGGCTGAGTCCGGGTCCAGCTTGGCCACCATCAGCAGCACGTCACCTCTCCTCACACCTCTCTTGAAGGGCAGGGGTTTTTTGGCTGGGGTCCCACCGGGGCCCGACTCCTGGGGCTTCTCGCCATTGATGCTGGTCATCAGCACGGGGTCCGTGGGGCTGGCCTGCTGGCCCTGCTTGCCCGGAACGTTGGAGTTCTGCGGAGAGCTCGGCTGGCTGCCTTGCGGGGTTTGCTGGCTTCCAGATTTGGTGTCAATGTTGGGCTTGCTCTTGGGTTGGTCAGCAGAGATTTCTGGGGTCTAGGAAAGAGGCCACAACCACACTTAGCGGCTGGCTGACCAGACAGCTTTGTCATTCGCTCACTCGCTCGCTGGCTCACCCGTTCACCCAGCCAGCCGTCCGCCCAAAGACCAGAGACGCCAGGGAGATCTGACAGGCACTGTGCCAGGCAGTGAGCGGACCCCAGCACCCTCAGCCTTGGCCCAGCACAGGAGACCAAGCAGCAGAGTGGAAGGAGGGTGGACTTTGGGGCCCAACAGACTCAAGCGCAGCTTCTCTCACTGCCATTCACTCACTGTGTGGCCTGAGGCAAATTGCTTCCCCTCTCTGAGCCTGTTTCCTTATCAATAAAACGCGTTTCATAATGGCTTACTTCACAGGGTGAGCGTTGGGGTTCATGACAATACACAGAAGCTGAGCCCAGCACCGAGGAAGAGTCCTTGGTAACAGGAGCCCCCTCTGCTCTCATTGTTCCTATTGCTGGTGTCGCTATTTTTGTCGCTGTGATTTCTGCCTTGAGTCTTCCTGCTGGGCCAAGGAGAGGGAAGGAGACCTGTTCTAGCCTTGGTCGGGGTGCTTCCCAGCTGGGTGACTGTGAGCATTATCTAACCTCTCTGAGCCTCGGCTTCCCCTCTGTGCAGGCAGGTGCCGCCTGACCATTCAGATCTGTGGTGGGGTGAGATGTGGAAAAGCACTTGGGAAATCGCAGAGAGCTGAACAGGGTTGTTGCAACATTTACTGCCCAGCAGCACTGCCCGTGCCAGGTAGGGGCCCTGGTTCCTGCCCCCGAGGTCTCCCCCAGACACCCCCAGCTTCCTCCCTCACCTCCACTCCCCAGGGTTCTCCCTCCCACCCCCATCCCCCCTGAGATCCTCCCCCCACTCCCCAAAGTCCTCTCCTCCACTCTCCCCTGAAATCCTCCTTCCCACTCCCCCCCAGAGTCCTCCCCCCACTCTCCCCTGAAGTCCTCCCCCCACTCTCCCCTGAAGTCCTCCCCCCACTCTCCCCTGAAGTCCTCCCCCCACTCTCCCCTGAA